ATTATAGAGAATTGCAAAAGCATTTTAGCGTGCAAATGGAGACTGTAAATAAACCAGACCTGAGGAATAGATTCTGGGACAGGGAGCCTTGTCTGGACAAGGGTAAATCTCAGGTCAAAAGGATACGACGTTTTTTCGAAATTTCGAGGTGTACTTCAAAATCGGTGACAGCATTTAATAAAATTTGTATCGTAGGCCACGCTATGAACATGTAAATTTAAATAAATGGGTCCAATGAAAGTACTGCTTACCCCACTGGATCCCTGCAAAATTGAACCAAATCAATTTAACCATTTAGATTACAATTTGATCAAAGATTTTTTTAATTTGTATTTTTTAAGTTTCAAATTAAAAATATAATTAATCTATATTTTTTTACATTAATTAATATTAAAAATAAAAGTAATTAATATCAATTTTATCATTAATATTACTTGAATTGTTTTAATTAAATATTTAATTAAATAAAGTTTAATTTTTATTTTTTTAATAATAATTAATGTTACAAAATAAAACATAAATTAGAAAAACCCTTTGATCAAAACTGACTTTAGATTGTTGCTCAAAACCGAACCAACTTGCTTGAACAAAATCAATTAACTAATCAAATTTCAATTTGACCAAACCAACTTTAAATTTTAACCATATATAAAATTGTTGTAATAATCAAGTTTTTCTTTAAATTCACAAATATATACACATTGGATTTTTAAAAATATCAATAAATATCCATTTAATTTTGAAAAAATACTCAATAAATATTCATTAGATTTTCAAAAAATTCTTAATAAATACCCAATAAACTTTAAAAAATTTCTCAATAAATACCCAATTGATTTTTTTTAATTATTTAATAAATAACAGTTCAAATCTAATATATATTAACTATTATAACTCATTCTAAATAGTATTTAATTTCTTATTAATTTATTTACATTCTCTTATTATAAAATTTGACTTAAAGTATAGTATTAAGATGACAATCTATTTTCTATTATATAAATAGACAAACAAGAGAGTAAAAAACCAGAGAGAAGAGGGGCTGATCACCACTAATTTCCATGTCTCTTTTCTTAATGATAAAGTTACAATGTTGGTCCTCAACTTTCAATATTTTTGCACTTTAGTTCTTTGGTTTCAAAATTTTACAATTTGATCATCAATCTCTCCACATTTGACTTTATGAGAACATTATGATTTAATTCTAAATTTATGATTTTTAAAAGTTAAGTACGATCCTGCACAGATAATGGAAATAATATAAAATCAAGTAAAAAATTATATTAGATCCATTCAAAGTATTAGTAATAGTAAGGCTAATTTGTATTATATTATCTATAAGAATTCAACCAATCATGAACAGTAAAGAAAGACAAAACACACTTCCTATGTTTTGATATAAA